ATGTTTGGTATGCAATCAGAATAGCAGAATAAATTGCACAATGTATGCATAACCAAAGCCTCATTTCACCAGTGAAGGTGTCGACCCATATTAATTGTAAGGCTCAATCTGAATATTTTCACTTTCCATCCCCAACAGCTAAGAAAAAATCTGTGCTTTTCAAACTATGTACTCGCACAGGTTACCCCCAAGAATCTGATATGACCTACATCCCTGAAGAGGTACTCCACAATTAAGAATCACAAGTTTATGAGACTGCTAAAGAAAATTGCACATGAAAGACAGAAATCTTTTATTCCATTAATAGCTTACTATTCCTCCTCCCATCACTCAGCCTTTTACAGATATTATACTCAAGAGTTTTCCAAATCCACTGTGGGGTGTTTTTGTTTGTTTGTTTGTTTTCCAGCTTGTTTCCAAACTGTTCTTGTCTCCTGGTTGGGTGCCAGGCAGGATATCAGCATGAAGTTTAAAATGAGTTTCTAACTGGCAATACATAGTTTCTAAAATCAAAGTCAAATTCTTATTAGATGCCATTTAGCTAAGTTTTATGAACAACAATTCACCTGGGCACTTCCAACCCACATTATCTATCAACTTTTGGAGGAAGCTACAATATACTCTTCTCTATTACTGACTACTATGAATTTCAAAGGCCCGGGAAAAGATTGCATCTTTGGGCCCAGTATACATAAGGAGCCAGATGGAAGCCCTCAATCTTGGGAAAGAGCCACGTTTTCTGATGTGGGCAATGTATCACATTTATGCACTACATAGAAAGCCTTTAAAAACTCCTTAAAATCAATGCTTCCATCTTTGTTTAAGTCCATTTTGCTGGTGAGCTCATCAACTTGAGAATCATCAACACGAACACCACAGTGAGTTTTGAAAAGTTTCCACATGGCACGGAATTGGTCCACGGAGATAAAGCCTAAAAGAATATAGGAGAAGGCTGTGTGAGTGTTCAATACAAGATCTACCTAAGGGATGGATGAGGATGCCATACTGATTAAATACACCCAATTAGAAGCTCACTAACATGCCTGACCATTAAGACACTGAAGGAATGGAAGAGTTAAGAGCATAAATGTAGGAAACAATATGCTACTTTCAACTACCAAACGACCCTGAGATTTAGGACTGTGGGACAATATGTGGTACAGAAAATTTAAGATGTGAAATGTAAGGGAGAGGGACATGGAAGGCGGGTCGAGAGGAGAAAAACATCAAAGCAGAGGAAGCAGATACCCTGAGACTCAGAGGACTGCAAACAATGGCTCTGTCTTTTTTACAGGCGATCATTGACTTTCATGTGTTAGAATATTGATTTGTGTGTGTTGATAAAAGGTTTCTGCAGTAGAGGATTACCTGATGGTTTCTTTAGTTTGACAGCAAGTAACCGTGCACCAAAGCTAAGTAGAAAATGAGTTATCATAATCTTCACAGAATCAGAACCCTAAGAATGGTTTTTATTGCCAGGAACATTGAAGGTATTTAAATGGATGGTGAATTACATTTTCATTTGTGCTGATGATTTATAAATGAGTGACTCTGGTTTGACAGATGGATACATAGACTTATGGAGGACTCTATGGTCTTGAATACAGAGCTTGTGGCCAAGCTGAAAAAAAATAATAATAAACATGAGTTCCTCCCCGCCACCCCAATTTTAATCGGATTTGGATGAAGGATGAAACAGATGAAAATGAGTTCTGGGTCCACAGAAACAGACTAACCTTTCCTAAATGGACTAATCAAAGTTCATTTACCTGAGTGATCAGTGTCAATGACATCAAATATGATGTGCAGGTCAAAGCGGTACCTGTAGACAGTCTCAATTATGGTAGAATGAACCTAAAATAAAGATTTTCTAAGTGTTAAAACAGAGAATTAACAAAGCTGATCAATTTCAGTAAACATAACGAACATAAGACATCATCACCAAGTCAAATGATATGACTTAGAAATTTGAGAAGGCACACTTCCTTGGAGGACAACTTCATTTAATCAGGAGTGTGCTCCCTGTTTTCTGAAGCCTCCACAGTCTGCATTCCTCAGGGGACAGGGCCAACATGGATTGAAAAAAATCCACCGCCCTCCAGTGGATTCTGACTCATAGCAACCCTACAGGATAAAGTAGGACTGCCCCATAAGGTTTCCAAGGCTGTAAATCTTTAAGGAAGCAGACTGCCTCACCTTTCTCCTGTGGAGTGGCTGGTGGGTTTGAAATGCCAACTCTTTGGTGAGAAGTTGAGGGCTTAACCACTGTGCCACCAGGGTTCCTTGAGGGTGAACAGGAAGCAGCAAGTAACTGGGGGGTGTAGACGGCTGATGCGCTCACCGCTAACAGAAAGGCTGGAGGTTCAAGTCCACGCAGAGCACCTCAGCATTAGGGATGGGATTCTGGAACATCAGCCACGGAAAACCCCACAGAGCATAGCTCTACTCTAACGCGGGGCTCACCGTGAGTCCCAGTCCACTGGATGGCAATTGATTTTTTAAAGAATAGTAACAGCCAACATTTACTGAGAGCTTTACGTGGGTTACTTCATTCAGTCTTCAACAACCACCCCAGGAGCAGAAACAGAACTATTATTACGTCCATTTTACAGATTAGAAAAGAGAGAGGTAAAGTAACCTTCCTAAATTCACATGCCTAGTAAGTGGAATCTGAATCTAAGCTTCCTGAATCCAAGGCCTATGATCATAGTCACCACATTAAACTGCCTCTACGTGAAGTCAAAGCCTCCTTTCTGCAGATATTTGGGTCTTCCAACTGCACTGTTGAGGAGCTCTGTTGGTGCAGTGATTAAATCATTTGGTGACTAACCAAAAGGTCAGCAGTTCAAACCCATCAACCACTCACCCCACAGGAGAAGATGAGGCATTCTGCTTCCATAGAAATATATAGCCTTGGAAATTCTATGGGCCAGTTTTACTCTGTCCGATAGGGTTGCTATGTGCCATCGATTTGATGGCAGTGGGTGGGAACTGCACTGTTACTTCCTCTCTCTCTGCTCTTAACGGGCTCATCTCCCCTGCAAACAACCACCCAGGTCCCAGTTCCAACTGTTAACTAATTGCTGATGATGACTACTAAATACCGGGGTATTCCCATTTTAATAAGGGATTCTAAATTTTAAAAATCTTTAAAGTATATCATCAGTCATGTCAGCAAGACTACACCCCCACAAATTAAGAACTCCATTGGGAGTTTTAAAGGGGGTGTTGTATGGAAAAATGGATGTCATACCTTCACTTTTGCTGGGCAACACTTAAAATAAAACTCACGTATTTGTCACAGATTACTGACAGAAGCTTTTTTTTTCTTTTTTGGCCTACGCTTAGAATGCACAAATTTCCCCAACAGATCACAATGTACATGTCCCCTTTAGACCTTTCTTAGGACAACCCCCCAACCCCCATCCATCAGGTAATTCCTCCCCCAAATTTTGAAAGGGCCAAGTTACTCTTTTAGGTGTTTTGCTCCCGCCAGGTTTTAGCTGGGGTTTGTTTCACTTGCCTTTTGCACAGGATTTTCAATCTGGACATCCTGGAAGATGGACATGTAGTCAACATTTCCATTGTCGTCTGTGTTGATCAAACGCACACTCATCAATCTCCATGGTAAGTTCAGGCCCATAACGGTCTTCATGGAAAAAGCCCACTGTCCCAAAGAAATTCTTCCTAACAACAACAACAACAAAAGCCCACATCATTTGTTTATTATTCGAAAAAAAAAGGCAACCTCCTTGGCAGAGTCGGTGAGCAGCCCCAGGTTTTGAGGCCCTGGAGTCTTTCCCTTACTGTCACTTGTAAGGAATCAGAGTTTGGGTGTGAAGTTTTTTCCATCCTTTTTCTAATTAACAAAATAAAGTGTGCTTATGTGGTAGTTAAATTTGTATGTCAACTTGGCTGGGCCTGGTTGAGTGGCTGGGCAGCTGGTGGTCGTTATTCCGCATGATGAGACTGGCAATCAACTCCATCGTGGGATCTACCACAAGCAGCTAAGTAGCTGCCTTTGGGATGTGGTCTGCTTCCTATGTATAAGGAGGAGCCTTGGGGATAGTCTCTAGCTGATGGCATGCTTGAACCCTGTATGTAGCCGAGTCGTTTGTTCAGCAGCCTGCCATGCTCTGCCCATCTTGGGACTTTCAATGGACTTAAATTAATGGCCTGTCGTGTGGCTTGGTAACATCGTGACTGTGCCATTTTATTTGTCAACCTTGGGCTTGTTAGCCTCAGCAGCCAGTAGCTGCCTGAGTGAAGAGATGCCTCTAGCTTCAGTGGGCCGGGAGCAAGAGGCAGAGCTGAAGCCCAAGGTCGAGGGGCTTTCACACAGCCCCTAGAGCCTGGCACTTTGAACTCAGACTTAAAGCCTCTAAACTGTAAAAGAATAAACTCCTGTATGTTCAGCCATCCCATTTGTGGTATAGTCTTGTCAGAGTGGCACTAGGTAACCAGAACAGCTTATTATAAAAGATTTGAAAACACAAGAGTATTAAAAAAATAAATGCTTTGCTTTCGTTTCTAATGCTGGATATATTATTCACCTGTCATTTTCCTGTAAGATACCCTTTTTCCCCATATTGTATGTAATTTTTCAACACAGAAATATATTTTTTTATTATTAAAGATATGCTCATTTTAAACAATTTATAATACATAGAAAATAGTGTTATTACTCCCAGTCCTTTTTCTAGATATAGAAACATGTATTTGTGAATGTATGTATGTGTAGATAGATACAGATACATTATCTTTCTTAAAACAAAATACACATTATACTCTAGCATGTTTTATACACTTGCATTGCATATGACAACACACACAGACACATTTACTCTAACCTGCTTTTTTACTTAAAATAAATCATGGACATCCATCTATGTGAATAAACACAAATCTGTATCATCATCTTAATGACCATGCAATTATTCCATTATTTCCTTAGGATAATTCCTTAAAGTGGAAATTGCTGGATCAAAGGGCATGTAGATTGTTAAGGCTGCTGATATATATAATGCCAAACTGCTTTCCAGGAAGTCTATCCACTTACACTCCCATCAGACCATTTCCTTATACACTGAACAGCTAAGGACAAAATTCCTTTTTATGTTATTTTAATGAAGTTTAACACTTAAAGTTCTCAAAACAAATACAGAACTCAATGAATTATTACAAAGGGAGCTCTTGTGTAACCACCACCAAGTACAGAAAATAGATCACTGGTACTATCCAAAAGGCCCCCTTGTGCCCCCTGACAATTACCACTTCCCACTTTCCCAACGAGTGCCATTACCTTGACTTTTAACCCTATAGTTGATTTTTGCCCTTTTTGATCTATATATAAACAGAACCACACAGTATATAATTTGGGGGAGAGGGGTCTGGCTTCTTCTGCTCAAAACTAGGTTCATGAGATTCAGCCATGTTGTTCCATTTAGTTGTAGTTTGTTCATTTTCATTGGTGTACAGGATCCCATGGCAAGAATATTCACAATTTACATATCCATTCTATTGTTGATCGACATCTGGGTTGTCTCCGATTTGGGATTATTACAAACAGTGCTGCTAAGAACATTTTTCTGTATATGCCCTTTTGGTGCATATATCTACTTGCATTTCTGTTGGCTAGTTATCTAGGAGTGAAATTGCGGGATCATAGAGGATGTGTTTGTTCAGCTTCACCTGACACTCCAAACAGCAGTAGTTGTACTAATTTAGACTTCCACCAGCAGTATATAAGAATTCTGGTTGGTTCACATCTTTGCCATCATTTGGTATCGTCGGTCTTTTTCATTTCAGCCATTCTAGGGGGGTATGTGGCAAGATCTCATTGTGGAATGAATTTGCATTTCCTAGATGATCAAAGAGTTGAGCACCTTTGCATATATTGGCTATTTGGATATCCTGTTTGATGAACTGTCTATACAAGTCTTTTGCCAGTTTCTCTACTGGATTTTATGTCTTTTGTTTTATTGATTGTTGTTGTTGTTATGTACCGTCGAGTCAGACCCGACTCATAGCGACCCCTCCTTGGGTTTCCGAGGCAGGATCACTACACAAGTAGATTGCCCCATCTTCCTTCCGAGGAGTGGCTGGTGGGTTTGAACCACCAGCCTTCTGGTTAGCAGTCAAGTGCCTTAGGCACTACGCTACCAGAGCTCCCGTTTTATTGATTAGTAGAAATTATTTATTCTTTTAGATATGAGCCCTTTGTCAATTACATGTGTTGCAAATATCTTCTCCAATTTTGTAGTTTGCCTTTTTTTTTTTTAACTCCTTTAATAGTGTAGTTTGATTACAAACAGTGCTGCTAAGAACATTTCTGTATATGCCCTTTTGGCACATATATCTACTTGCATTTCTGTTGGCTAGTTATCTAGGAGTGAAATTGCAGGACCATAGAGGATGTGTTTGTTCAGCTTTATTTGACACTCCAAACAGCTTTCTAAAGTAGTTGTACTAATTTAGACTCCCACCAGCCATATATAAGATGTTCTTAAATTTTTCTTTTTAACTAGCAGTCACCATGGGCTGAATTTTTAAAACTTGTGCCATGCACTGTGCTAGGAGACAAATATGCTTACTCATTTACTCCTCACAATAGCCACAGAAATAATTATTAGTTCCAAACAGATAAAGAAAACAAAGTTAAAAGAGGTGTCTGATTCCAAATCCTGTGTTTTTAATTGCTGCACTGAGCTTTAAATATTAAAGGAACTGTTACTTAAATATGGTCCACATAAAATGGGTCATTTGTTTAAGGAACATCTGTCAGGGCACTATTGGGTACTGAGTACTTTTTTTTAAAAAAAAAAAAAAACCTTTTTATTGTAATCTGGGTGAAAATTTACAGAGCAAATCAGTTTTCCATTCAACAATTCACGTTCTGTTTCATGTCACTGATTGCAATCCCCTCAATGTAACATCACTCATCCCACTTCCTCCCTGTGCTAAGAAGTTCTTGATTTAAATGTAATTAATATCACCACTCTTTTCTTTATGGTTAATGCTTTTCCGTTCTATTTATGAAAATTCTGCCAAGTCCAATGGCATAAATAAGTTTGCACGTATTGTATTCCAGAAGCCTTGTTGTATGTCTTTCATATTTAGATCTACAATCAATCTGGATTTTCTTCTTGTATATGTCATGAGCAGTGGGCCATTTCTTTTCTGCATATGGATATCCATTTGGCTCAGCAGCATCATTTATTGAAAAGACTGTCCATTACCCACCTTCAAGTATCCATATATGCATGAATCTGTTTCAGGATTCTCTATGTGGTTCCATTTGTCTATATGGGGATCCTTGTGCCAATTCCACACCGTTTTAATTACTATACCATTATAATGTTTTGATATACAACAGGACAAGTCCTTCCACCTTACTGCTTTTCTTCAAGTATGTCTTGGCTATTTTTGACTTTTTGCATTTTTCATATAAATTTTAGATGCAACTTTTCAAGATCTACCAAAAAATCCCCATGCTGGGATTTTGACTGAGATTGCATTAGAACCTATAGCTCAATTTGAAGAGAACTTGTATCTTGACAACTTTGACCTTTATAGTCCATGAACACAGTACTATGCACTCATTTATTTCACTTAGCTTTGATTTCCCTTAATAATATTTTATAATTCCCATGAGGAAATCTCATACATCATTCCTTAGATTTCTTCCTAGGTACTTGGTTATTTAATCTATTGTGAATGGTATCTTTTAAAATTCTCATTATCTGTAAGTCAGTTGCTGACTATCAAACCAAAACCAAACCAAACCCACTGCCCTGAAGTCGATTTCAACTCATAGTGACCACATAAGACAGAGTAGAACTACCCCATACGGTTTCCAAGGCTGTAGATCTTTACAGAAGCAGACTGCTATGTCTTTTTTTTTCCCCATTTAAAGTGTACTATTTATCATCAACAACAACAACATTTATATTTATTTAATTGTGATTTGGGTGAAGATTTAGAGCAAATTCACTTTCCATACAGCAGTTCATAATATACTTTGTCTCATGTCATTGACCACAGTTTACCACAATGCAACAGCTCCCCTCCCACTTCCTCCCCATAGTTCCTCTTCCCAGTGCCATGCCTCCATACACTCCTGGCCCCTGGGCTGTCTCCCTGTGCATAAGCAGCCCTTCTTTCTCACATGATTGTTCTCTCCAAAGAGTGTATCTACTTGAGGTAAATGTTCAACTCATATGCCTGTCTTTTATTTGGCTGGAAACCACAGGTGTGGGTTCAATTCCAGACCTGAAGGGCAGCTAGGGGCCACAGTCTCAGTGGTTCCACCAAGCTCTATCAGACCAGAAAATCTGGTCCCCACTTTTTTTTTTTTTCCAAATGACTTTGAGTTTTGTTCCACATTGTCTCCCTCTCTATCAAGGATGTCCTAAATAGATCCCCTTTCAAGTGGATGACAGTGGTAGCCGGGCACCATCTAGTTCTTCTGGTCTCATCAGACTGCTGTATCTTTCTCCTGTGGACTAGTTGATGAGTTCAAACCACTCGGCTTCCAGTTAGCAGTTGAGCACTTTATCCACTGCAGCACCATTGCTGGCTACACCAGTTATCAATCTAACCCCACTCAGCTTCAAACTTATCCTTCTTTCCCCTGCTCTGTGACTGCTGAAGCTGGGCCCTGAGAACATTTCTCCTTTGGCAGATGA